TATATATATATATATATATATATATATATATATCGAATTATTCCTCTCTTGGCCAGCGTCTCAACCCAGTCTCGTGAGTGCCATTAAGAAGGATACACGAAAGGAATATTGGATTTAAAATGAAATCTAGGAAAATAAGATACGGATTGAAAAAGGATACGTCGGGATATATCCGTTTGGTAAATCCCATCTAACGGCTAAAAGCTCTTTTCTCTCCTAGGATTTAATCCTTAATGTATTCGACGTTTGTTGGAAAGTTTAGAGTGAAAAGAAAAAAAAAAGAAAGAAAGAAAGAAAGAAAGAAAAATCTTCACACGGTAAATGGAACGAGTGTCGTTGGAAAGAGCCATAAACGATCGTGTTTCCCATTTTCCTATCCAAGCAGTTTAATTATCGCGTATTGATCAATACCAAATCGTTGGAACACTTGACCGAGAAATAAAACGATACTGTTATCGTCACGTGGCCGATATTTCGACCGCCTACTCTCGCCGATCGTTTGGAAAATAAAATAAAAAAAAAAATAAAAAAAAAAGAAAGAAAGAAAGAAGGAAAGGGGGGGAAAAAAGGAAAAAAAAAACAAAACAAATAAAATAATCGAATCTAGACTCGCCTCTCTCGATGAGAACTTGTTGCGCTTGTTTCGGTGCGGGCAAAAAATAAAAAAAAAGGTAAGTGGGGAAAAAAAACTGGGCGTTTAAAGAGGAGAACGAAAATGGGGAAACGATTGAAACTCGATATTAATAGATGGTGCAAAGAGAAAAGGGTGGAGGGATTAAATGGAGGAGCGGGAAAAATCTTTTTTAAAACGAATCCGTTCCAAATGTTGAATAAAGAATAAAGAATTGAATAAAAGACGGAGGGGAAAGGGATCGTGGGCGGGGGTTGATAAAACGGGAGAAAGGGAAAAATTCTTGCAAGGAATTTCCCGAAGGGGTGACCTAATAACTCCCGACAAACTTTTGAAAGAATAATTAGACGATGTCGAAAGACAAGGGACAAGTGTCATAGTATTTTATTTTGCACCCAAGAGATAGGTCTCTGAATTGATGCGTGGAAAAATATTAAGAAAAATTTAAGATTAAGTTGGAGAAGAATTTCGATTTCGATTTAAGTTTCGCGCGCAAATTCGGTAGTTTTTCCAAAATTCTTTTCGATAAAGTCGGGGCAAAATTAAGTAACGCGAAGAATCAAGGAGAAAGGGATGGGGTTTTTTTTGGTGGATGCGAATGAGAAAATAGAAAGAACACAGGGTGTTCTACGATGCTTAAACTGAAGCTTATATTTTGTTTCTTTGCTCGTTTCACCGATTTTCGCGATACTTTACACTCTGTTTAAGTCGGATAAAAACAATGGTGATTATGCGGAGGACTTGTTTAAAAAATTGAAACCCACTCGTTCCTCGTGCATCTCCTTTCTTCCCTCGAGTTTTTTTCTTTTTTCTTTTTCTTTTTTTCGTTTGCACGAAAAAGAGCCAACGAGTCCTCCCAAGGTGTCTGCAAAAAATAGAAAAGAGGAACTGAAACTACTAATGGTTGTTCCATGGGGGGAGGGGGGAAGAAAAAAAAAAGGAATTATCCCGCTTTTGTAACGAGATCTCTTTGCATTTGAAACTGCTTTGGGTGATGCTTTGCAACTTTGACAAAGGGAATTTAACAAAATAACAAAATAAATGCCATCCTCGATTTTGCAAAATTAAACTCGTTCTAACAGCATCACGGTGAAATTAGAAGCTTGAACGTTGAAATTTGTAAATTTTCGTTGTTCTTCCTTTTTTTTCTTCTTTTGTTTTTTTTTTTTTTTTTCTACTCTGAAAAAACTCAAACGCATTTAAAAATTTCAAACGATACGAAAAATTAAAATTTGTTCCACGAACCGGGAAAAAAGCTTCGTTTCAAAACTTCCTCTTCGTCGCAATGGATCACGAAAAACAAACTTCAACGACAAAAGTGCGTACTCGTTAATAATTCCAACAAAGTTAAACACTTTTTTTTTTTTTTTTTTTTTTTTTTTACGCTCCAGATTATTATTTTATCCACGCTTCAAAATTCATTCAACGCGCTAACGAGCATATCCCTCTTGGGTGATTTCAACGCTTGGCACATCTGCACGTCTCGTATCGATCTTAATA